TGAATGTTAAACAGGACTATCTATGCCTAAATCTCCTCACTGATTCTTCCTTTGTACTGCAGTAGTATCATAGATCTGGTTGCAAATCTCAATGAAATTCGTGCAAAAATGGCTTTGGAGTAGTTTCTGCTTGACAATCCTTGTTGTTGTCCTTGTAAATACAAAACTTGATGCACCAGACTAAATACCATCAGAATGGGTTTTCTAGACGTGTTTTCTTGTCCTTCTGAATAGACATTTGACTATAAATTTGACTTAAATTTGTAGTCAGATGTGTTCTGTCACACAGGCAGAACGAGGGCTCCACATGGTGTGAATAACTGCTCCTGGCAGCACTCTTTACCAAAGTAGTAACTAAGTTGGATCTCGTATGTTGTGACCTGCCCGAGGCATCCATTTGCACCAGCTGCTGCAGTGTCCTGGGGAATTTCCTGCATGGCTTTTTAAAGATTTATATATGCAGGGACAGACAAAAATGGATCAGAAATCCCACATGCACCATGAAGATCCTTTCCTGATGTTACGTGCTGTGTAGCCACGTTTCCCTCCGAGCTCTTTCCAGCTGGCCTCATCTCTCCATGCCGTTCCAAGGTTTTTACCTTTATTTGCATGAGTGAGCCTAGGGTTGGGGTGTTCTGGTTTGCTCATCCTTTGGCAGGGCAGGCAGGTGAGATGTGCTGAACCTGGAGCTGAGAGTCTGAGCTGCTTACAGAAGATGAGGGCTGGATGTGGGGTTCCAATAGGACGCAGGATCTTCATCTGAATCTAAATGAGCAGTCTGTGCTTCAGAGGAACTGAGCTGACTTTGCCTGAAATCAAAGGAATGGTGCTCAGCATCCCTGGAATTAAGAAGCCAAGATGCAGGCTGCCACATACAAAACCAAGGCAAGGACAAACCCCAGACCACTCCAACCTCTGTTCTGAGGCTGTAACTGCTCTGGCTGAGCTCCACAGCCTTTCAGGTATTCCCATTTGCACTGTGTGCTCACAGACCTCTGTTCACTTCTAAATTACACTGCTCTGTTCTCCTGACTCTCCTATGATGGATTGCTGACCACAGAACCTGTGGAGCCCATTTGTTTTCTGGTCCCTCCTGCCTGTCCCAGTCCATCCTTAGTGCAGTCTCACTTCCCTCAGTCTTTTGCACTCTCCTGAACTGGTTTCAGCTACCTTGAGGCTACTTTTGATGCAAACTCCCAGCAGATTTCCTGTGATGATCCCAGAGGCTCCTCTCCAGGTCTGTCCTGGGTCACCTTTGTCCCTTTGTTTCCCAGGCAGGAAGGACTCCTGCCTTGTGCAGCCCTGGGCTCCTCTGGCCAGCCCTCGTTCAGCCAGGCTCTTGAGAAATCCTAGTGGAGAGTTAGAACCTGGCAGATGGAGACTGTTACCTCATTCCACAAAAATGCTTTGTTATTGAGAAAATGGAAACTGTCTGAGGTTTGGGAGCTGAATAGAGTCATTGGTGTCTGTTTTAACCGCAGCTTGGTGGTGACTGCTGAAAGTTCCCCTCGCCAAGCATTCCCTTTTCCTACACCCATAATCTTCAAGTCATTGGAGAGCTGCAGTGATTTAACTCATTAGCTGAGCAAATGCTGAATGCTGTTGCATACTCTGCAGAAACTCTGCTAAAACCTCAGCATCTTCCAGCAGAAAATGGCTAGCCATAAATAACCCTTTGCAAACTGTTGGCCAGAAAAGTGATCCCTGTGGATACTAAGCCAAATCTAGCCCTTGTTTTCTGTTACAATCTCAGCTCTGACTCTTGTCTGTTTGATTTGTCAAAAGCTGTGTTAAGATTATGCAGGAACTTCTTGGAGAGAAAAGGCATACACAGAGCCTTGTTGTGTTTTATCATGCTTGAACACAGGGATGTGAATGCCAGGTATGAAGAGAGATTTCATCAGTGATTTTATAAAGCAGTTTTCAGCACTGGGCATTTGGGTGTAGAGGGGAAAGAAGAAACTATTTGCAAGCTGCTTTTCATATTGCTGTGAATAATGACTTGAGTCAGTCCAGAGGAGCATTAACCGAAATCCAAGACTTGTTTTAGTTAAGATATTTGTATGCATTTGTGAAACTGTGGCATCTGATCCCTCCCGCTGAGAACATTGCATAAGCATTATTCACCAAGCCCCCTAATAGAGCTGAAAGCAGCAGGGTTAGCTTTTTGGAAATAAAATGAACACTTTAGTAATGTATTTTTAAACTAATTAATCTTGGCGGCCCCAGTGAATGTCTTCCAGCTGCTGCAGCTGGTTTTTACATGGCTAAACGCTTTGGTGCATAGAAAACCCTAGAATACTGGAAGCAGGAGATATTAAATATTGAATTATTACCCTGGAATGTAAATATGGCCTTGATATTTTGAATTTGTTTACCCAGATTTCGAGTGTTCACTTAGAAATTCATCGATGAATACAGTTCCAATGGCGTTATCTGAGGAGAAAAGGGACTACTCAGCATCTTCTCTGAATTGCTTTAAATATTGGAGTGGGGTTCAGCACCAGGAGTTTGCTTATCTGGATTAATAATCCCAGTTGTTTCGGGCAGAACCTGGGATCAAGATTTCATCTATAATGAGCTGTTTCCTTTCTAGGTCCCTGCTTTCTGTGGGTTTACAGTGTAACCATCAAAATCCTTTCCAGGCTGAGCTCTGCCTCCTGAGGGCTTTGGGAGGTTTTATTTAATAGAGAATGCAAAAAACCCATTGTAAAACCAAGGAGCAGTCGATTTTCAGGCTGTATCTTAGCAGTTTAGAGCCCATTCTGGACATGTGGTGTTCCTCTAAGTGTAAAACAACCTTATTGAATGACCCAAGCCCACAGGATTTCCCTCATATGAGTGTATTGGAGGTTAGGTAATTTCTGTTGCAGGTCAGATCTGTGTGGCTGCTGACCATGCCATTTTCCACTTAAACAGCATTTATCTTAACTCAGGACTGTTGGTGGAAAAGGTCTTTCTTTAAGGCTCTTCAAATGAAATTGAATAAATAATATTAAATATCTGAAAGGCCTAATTTCAGCATGGTTGAAGACCAGAATTCCTCCCTGAGATCCACATCTGATGGCAGTATTCCCAGGTATTGCTTAGGATGAGAAGATGGTGAAGAAAGAACAGCAACAAAAAACATGTGGCTCACAAAATGTTTCCAAGTGGAAGGACTGCTTTTGTCAGCATCATGATCCCACGTACCAGCCTAAACTGCTGACTCTTGCAGGCTTTTGACCTCACCTTGGAATTCTGCTCCTCTCATTTGAGGAAAACATGGCTTTTTCTATTCCTCAGGATTAATCACTTTGAACTGATGTGTAACTCCTGGTGCTGCACTACTCCCGTGCCGTCTTCCAACCCAGAGCACTTGCTTTGAAAGCTTGAAGTTTAAATAGGAGGAGCAACTAGCAAAGGCATGGTGTTACTTGGTTGAAAGATGTGCAGTCTGGATTAACTGTACTTGATAACTGAGCAGTACTGTGTCTGTCCATCATAGAATGGTTCGGGTTGGAAGGGACCTTAAACCTCATGTCCTTATCATCCTTCCCTTGCTTCCTTTTTTTCCCCTGCCTGTGATAGAGCTCAGTTTGTGGGATCTATATGGACACAGGTCTATAACATGCATTAGTGGGTGTCACAGTTTCCAGGCTGGCAGGAATATGTGCTGCATCTCAGAAGAAGAAAGATGGACAGGGACTTGGATCTTGGTTCCATTTTTAGTTCTCCCAAGCTTGCTTTGTGCCAGAACCCACGGAGGTGCAAATCCCATGAGGGAGATAAAATAACTGCCTGCCCTGCAGGTATTACAAGGGTAAATAATGTTTTTTGCTGGTGACAGCCATTAGGGAACTGAGGAAACAACAATCCCATGAGAGTTACGGGATGTTGGATCTGTGGAAACTGAGTGCCCTTTCATTTATGGTCTTGCACTGCATCATTTTATTTGTGTTGCTTGCAGCAGGGAGTCAAGGAGCTAAACTGCTTTCCAAGTAAAGAAACTAATCCATAGTTTGTGTCCTTAAATGTGGATTAGTTATTCTCATCTGCCTCTTTTCTCAGCACAGGAAATTTCCAAAGAGAAAAGTCAGCCTTTACATTTTAGGGCATTTCAGTGGCTACCTTTAACTCAGGGAACACTTCATACCAAGAAAATTGCTGCCATGCCTAACTTGGAGTATTCTGGAATATGTAGAGTAATAGCACTACTTACTAAGGAGTCATTAATAGCAAGAAGTACGTAATGTTGCATGTAACTCAGCCAAGAAAAGTTTGATTTCTAGTATTTCTCACCACTGTGCAAACATCTTGTACCTCACAGCAAGATTAAATCTGACCCATTGTGCTTGGGTAGAAGTCTTGGATGTGTTGCTTTTGGAAAGCCTGAAGAGCTGTGTGTGGAAAATCACAAATGCACTTCAGGTTGGTGAAGGTGTTAGACCATATGCACAAGCTGTGTATGTGTGTGTGTATATATGTGTCTATGTGCAGAGTCTTTGTGGCTCAACTAAGGAATGATGAAATAAGTGCATTCAGATCCTTGAGAGCTTTGAGTTTAGAAGATGTAGAGCAGAACTTTGAATAAGATTGGAAGAGGGGAATCCAGAGATTTTTGAATAGCTGGGTCCCAAGTAGATCAAGCTGTTTGACTCACACTGACCCTTTCCAGTGGAAATCAAGGGGTTCTGCTGCTCACCTCATTCACACCTGACTTGGTAAGTCAGCCTTAAATCGATGTTCGTTGGCTTTTTACTTTATGTTACAAGTTTTGCTTGTTCTCTGTTTTTCTTTCCTTTTCTGTCATCATCACATTGAGAAATAGAAAGGATTTGGAAGTGAGCTCTACCTACACAAAATCAGAATCACAATTCTTCCATGTCTTCTGCAAATTTAGAGTAACTTGGATATAAGTGTCCAGTTTCCAGTCACAAGTAGTGACATTTAAACCTCTGTAGGAAATGCAATCCCTGGACTGATGTCACCCTCTGGTTTATGATGTGACTGCTTTGTTTCTGGGCAAGCACTTGAGGGTTTTGCTGGCGAAGTGATGATTTACCACTGAGAGCCTCTTGCTGGTGGCACCTGCTTCAACTGTCTGTGCTGTGAGTCACTGGGAGAGCTGCTGGGACCGCTGGGTTTTACATTGGCCCATCGCATTCAGCAATGCAAGGTAACAGGGAACTGGTCTGTTTTGTGTCTTGGGCTTTGCCAGTGTGGGACAAACCACTTGGAAATAGAGCTTTGTTGTTCTGGTTGGTCTGGAGAACGGAAGGAGGGTTATTAAGGAGTTGGTGGTGACTTGTTGCAGTAAAGCCCATGATCCTCGACCTGTGTGTGCATGCAAAAGAGTCTTGGAAGACCTATCACTGTAGTCAAAGAGCGGGTTGCTGTTGCTTCCTTCAGTGAATGAGTGTGAAGCACCTTCTCTACAGCAAAGAAATGGGGCATTGTTTCGTATCTGCTGCTTCAGGGGCTGAAACATCAACTCATCTCGGTCTTTACCTGGAAGCTGTCATGAGAGGAGCCTCTGTTAGCTAAAATTCTGACCTTTCGGTGCCTTTTTAATCTATGACTAATCTGTTTTGTGTAGGTTTCCTTGTAAATCTCGGATCTGAATGAGAGAATGAGGCTCTGCAAATGAGCCACAGACCTGGAAGAGGGGCTCTGTAATGTTACTTTGGCTCATGTGTTGTGTTTATTTCTGTGAAGGAGTAGTTTTCCTCTCTCTGGGAGTTTTTAGGGACAGCCAGCGCTTGTGCTTTACTGTGCCACCTGTCACCAGCAGTGTCCCACGTTGCCCAGATTGCCATGCTGAGCAACAGCCAGTTCAGAGGCAGACCCATGCAGGGGGCAGGGGCATAGATGTTGCAAACCCAAGGGGTAAATACATGATATCAAGGCATTTGTCAATTTTCTGAGCATTTGTGCCCCTTAAAATAGCTGTTCCCATTTAGTCTTTTTTGATGTGGCACCAGTTTTCCCATATGGGTACCACTCCAGCTCAAAACGTGGCAACGCAGCACGGCAGAAATAGGAAAGTGTGTTGTTATTTCTTAGAGATGTTCTATTAAAATATGTGACAGTTACAACTGATGTTATTTATGTTGTTCAAAGTGTGTGGTATCTAAGAGCAGTTTTTAAAGGTGCCAGTGAGAAATGCTTTAAAAGGGAGCCTGATTTGAAGATAACTGGCTCTGTATCGCTGAAGTGAATGACACCAGATGACCACATCACCTAGCAGAGGAATCTTCAGCCACAAAAGAAGGAAGCTTGTTTCCCTTCTATGTTGGCAAGGCCATGGCTAAAAGCAGAGGCTGTTTTCCCCTCCCAGTGATCCCGTCTGTCCCCGTTGTGTGCTTTCTGGTGCTCGGAGGGCTCAGCTATGCTGTCCTTGCAGAGCAATACCTTTTTCAGGAGGGCTGCAGCTGGCACATAACAGCATCTCCCAGGCAACAAATGATCTTAGTTTTGTTTCGGACCACAGGCAAGCAGTTCTGGGGATGGTAACCTGAGACAATTTGCCTTTGCCAGGATTCAGTCCTTCCCCAGATTTAGAAGCTGCTCACATGCTGCGGACTACAGAGCTGTAATTGCCTTTGCTTGCAAGGGACACCAGCAGCTGTAAGAAGGACCTTAGACTGAGAGTGCCCTTCTCATGCAAACAGTCAGGTGAGAGGCCCATGGTTAGTGGTCAGATGGTGGGAGAGGCATCTCTTTGTCACCTTCCTGGCTTTCTCTGCTGGTCTTGCATAGAGGTGGAGAGACCCAAAAGGCACCAAACTGCCTCACCCTTCTCAGTCAGTATAGCTGCAAGAATAGAATCAGTGCTCATGTTTGGGGGGCAAAGAATCAAATTGGAAAAGGGAGTATTTTGACCAAATTTGGTGAAAAAATGCACTTTACCCGTTAAGCAATAGACATGCATTAAATGAACCATGTCTGGTTTATGTGTCTTTTCCTGCTACTGGAAGTCAAAGTTGCTTTGTTTATTAAAAAAGCCCTGAAGTTGAGCAGAGCCTTAATCAGCAAAGAGCTGTCAGGTCTTCTGGAGAAGGTAGTGAGGGATCAGACCAAGCAGGTTTGCTTTGCAGCACATGAGCACAAAACATGTGCACCATCACTGCATCCTATAGCCTGCCCACAAGCTCCCGTGTGTGCTCATTCAGAAGCATGCTTGAAGCAGCCCCTTGATTGCCTTTATGTGCAAAATAGAGGTATAATCTAAGTGCCTTTTATTCGGGGAGGGTGAAAAGCTTTGTAAATGCTAACTTATGTATTCCCTGAGAAAGAAGAATGGCTTCATCCTCCATTTAAATAACAGCTGCCTAAAGGAAAAGTGAAAACTACAGTGCAGGGCTAGAATTGTGAGAGACCTTTAGGGAAACAGAGTGGAATTCCATTAGGTTGCAGTGAGATGTGTATGAGATGCACAGACCCCAAGAACCGAGCAGCCAGAGCAGTCAGCTTGCTTTTGTTGCATTTAGGCTGTGATGTCTGTTTGAATTGCAGGATTCTTGTGTGCTGAGCAGATCTCAGATGAAGGTAAATTGGCCTCAGTGTGCAGTTAGTCATTTCCTGTCATGCTTTCATGTTTGAATTCTGGCGTACTGGGGATGACCTTTATTTCATGGGGCAAAGAGATTTTGAAACGCTCTTGCCGGAGCCCTGGGTTCCTGCAGTTGGATAAGCAGTCAGGCATTTCTATGGCTCTGGGCCAACTTTGCTGGGTTATAATAAAGCAATCCAGTCTAAATTTAAACTTTCATTGCTAGATTATAATCCTCACAACATGCTTATTCTTCAGGACTCCCTTTTTCCCTCTTTACCAGCCAGAGCATTATAAAGATCTCGCTGGATTTCTGCATTTGGGAGGTTTAGGGCATCCTAGGCTCTGCGACCGAGTTCTGCCTTTTGAGTTTGGGGCATGGGTGCATTTTCCCCTTTGATCTTTGTGGTCATACATTTGTTGCTGCAGAACACTGACCTTGAGCAGTGCTCTGTTCCTCATGCACAGTTGTAGTTGCCATGATGTCTGCAGTTACGAGGCTGTAGCACACAACAAAAACCACACATGCTACAACAGGTACCATGAAGCAGCTTATTTACCAAGTTCTAATTTCATATGCATTTATATATATTCTCTTCATTGCTTTTTTGATGAAACCTCATCCAGTTATGATCCCTTCCCACCACCTTTTCTTGCCCATCACATCACAGACAAAGAAGGTCCACAGATAAATGATACTGTGCTAAGCAACAGGCATTTCACTGTTCAGATCAGCTTCTGCCTAAACCTGGTGTGAAACCTGGGGCCTGGAGGCCAGCCAATGCCCATTAATTTGTTTTATAGGGTTGATGACTATCTCTAGGCTTTGTTTTGTGTTCTTGCATTACTGTTTGTTGCCAGTAGGATGATGGTTAATGCACGGTCTACTCAGTATATCTGAAAGGCCTGTTCAGCCATGCACGAGCAACAAGTTCCTCCTTCTTCCTAGTTTTCTAGTGGAAGGAAGAAACTAAGGGGATTTGTGGATTGGACATTGGCATACTCTTATGGTGTAGTCTGTCAAGCACCCACGAGCTGATGGTGTTTGTGCCAGGGCTGTTGAGGCACCACAAGCTGATGGGAGCTTCCCTGGACCATGACTCTCGCTCCTCTGATCCTGTGATCAGTGACACTCCCTGCGACTTGGCTCCAGCATCTTTCTTCCTATTACGGTCACCCCAGCCATGTCTACAGCTGCTCTTCTGCAGCAGTAATGAGCTTCAGTAGCAGGTTTGCATTGTGTAAGCTACTGCTGGCAGCGGGCTCCTGCTTGGCCAGCATTGCACATGGCAGGGGAAAGTACCTGCGATGTGGAGCGTGGGGCAGGCAGTCTCCCTTTCCTCCCAAGCCTCTTCAGACACTGGCCAGAATCTCTTCTGGCACATTTCTAAGCCAGAGGTTCCTTAACCATCCTTAAAAAGGACTTCATTTGGCTGGGAGAAGCTTCTGATGCGTCTGTACCTTACTCCTCTTGCACTTCTTCCTTCAGTTCAGTGGGCTGTTTGAGTCCTGACAGGTCCAAACTGCCCAAATGGTTTCAATTCCAGACTTCCTGTTGAGCGTGCAGAATTTGCTTGCTCTGTATACATTTAGAGGGAGATTAACAGCTGATCTCTTGAGCAAACATTCAGTTTTCATGTCAGCAGAATGGCACAGGCTGCTTGTTCTGAATGTGGCCCAACTGCTCTGCTGCTGTTGGAGCCACCCTTGGTCCAAGCTGCCCTCTGTAGATGGAGGATTTTGTTCAGAACCTGAAATAGTTAATTACTCCTTGCCTTTAGTAATGACTTTTAAATCATTGCATCCTTTCCTCCTTGGCAGAGCTTTTCGTTTTATGGGTGCATAAAAGGGGCTCTTAAGCTTCTTTCTTTAACCCTGGTAGAATTAACTTCCCCTAAAGAAAATAAGCCTAGAGGGAGGCCTGCAATTACTGTTGGCTTTCTCCCTGTGAGCCTGCACTCTGCTGTCCCTTGGTTGGGATACTGGAAGGTGACCAGCACCGCTGGGAAGCCTGGCATTTCTCACTGCTGCTGTTTGAACAGGTCTGTTTCTCTCCCTCCAAACCACGTATCATCATGCTCCCTGTGCAGATGCTTCAGCTCACAGCTGGATCCAGGGGACCTGCTCGGACAGGGCAGATCTGAGGAGGAAAGGGACAAAAGCAGCTGAAAAGCAAAAAAAAAAGCAAGGTCTTGGCCACAGGAAACTACAATTTGAATCTCAGATGGGCAAATGCACCGGGTTTTCCACTGTAGCATGGAAAATTGGATTCCCCTGCAACTGCGGCCTCATTAAAAAGAGATTCTTTCTTTAAAGGGTAGAGAAGGGACAAAAGTCCCAGTGTGCACAAATACTGCTTTGGGCTTTGTCCTATTACCTTGTATGGGGATGCTGCCTTGTGAGAGCCTGACTTATTCTGAGCAGGTTTTCCTTTCACATAGGAAAAGTTTTGGGTTATGTTCCCTTATCTTGGGAGACAGAATGAAGGATTTAGAGGAAAAGGGTCTATGAACTCATTGGTGTTCTGAAACCCCAGCAGAGTTTTGGGCTTCTGGACAGCCTCTCATCCATGTCAACATTTCTTGCAGACCATATCTAGTGGCGTGTGTATGCCATCGAGGCCA